AGCCCCCCTCCACCGCGCCCTTGAACACCTCGGGGGAGGGGCCAGCCACAGCCTCTCTGGGCAATCTGCTCCAGAGTCTGGCCACCCTCACACTGAACAATTTCTTCCTATGATCCAACCTAAACCTGTTCTCTTTCAGTTTAAATCCATTTCCCCTTGTCCTGTCACTGGAAACTTGTACAACGTCCCTCCCAAGCCTCCCTGGAGGTCCCTTCAGGCACTGCAGGCAGGGATAAGGTCCCCCTGGAGTCTTCTCTTCTCCAGCTGAGCACCCCCAGCTCCCTCAGCCTGCCCAAAGCACACGGAAGAGGTCGTCTGACTGCAGACAGCTGCGTAACACAAACCCAGCGCAGCGCTCTCGGGCTCAGGACACTGGCCCACATACACATTCTCAGGAATTTTTTGCTCATGTCATTTCCACAGTCGCTTTGCGGGGTGAGACAGACCAAAGCGCCGGCACGCGACACATCGGCACTCCCGATCCCGGGGGTCAGCACGCAGCCCGGCGCAGGAAAGGAACGGCCGACACCTTCTCCCCACCCTGGCCCCCCCCCGGCAGTGTCCTCTTTATTGCTGGTGAGATGGCAAACGGAGCCTCACCAGCGGCACCGCTCCGCTCATTGCACGGATTCTCCCCGAAAAGCTCCACGAAGGAGGCGTGATGCTGGCACATCTGGATTTTCCCCAGTACTTGCCTTCCAGAGTGCCCGGGGGGGAGGGAGGAGAACACCACCGCTGCGCTCCGGGCGGTTCTGGGGTTGAAGGCGATGACACGGAACACGGGGTTTCCACAGGACTCACTCTCTTTGGCGTGTGGGTGACTTAAAACAACAAAGAGAAGGCCCTGGCGCAGAGAGGAAAAACACGTCACTAAAAACAACAGTGAGAGGGGAAAGAACCCAAGGAATTTTCCGAAAATTAATTGCTAAGTTCTCTCCATAATCAAAGCCCCATGGACAGCAATGCATTATTTTTTACTGAATAAAATAGAAATATTTTCCCTTTCCTTATCAAATTAGATAAAAGCCAAAGCAGCTGCTGGCTGATAAGGGCTGACACAATAGAGCAGAACGACAGCTCGGTGACCCAACAGATTTATACACTTATCTTTCTGTCTGAAAAAGCTAAACTCGCGCAAACCAGCACAGCTGAAAACAGCAGCTCTTGGAACAGCCAGAGGCTGCATGAAATACGCTGGACAGATATTCTGAGGAAATCCCCAGAGTCTGACTCAAGCCATCATTATCAGACCAGACACTCTTGTCCCGAAAGGTTGAACACTCGCTGAAAACAATCAAATCCTGGATAAACCACAAAAATCCATCAGGAATCACAGCACAGTGGAAACAAGTGGGAAAGAATCATTAGCATGGCTCTTGGTGGTTTATATCCTTGGGGTATATATAAATAATAACCACTATAAACAAACAAATAAAACCCATTTCACATTGATTTTCTGCCAACGGCAGCGTGCCACCACCCTGCTGGTGGGGACCTGCTCCTGAAACGGAAGAGACTTCCCAAGCACCAGCATCGGGCGATGGTACTTCTGCTTTCCACGCGCCAGATGCTGCCGCTTGGGAATGCGCTTCGCTGCATCAGGCTCGTTTTATCAGCACGCGGCAGAAAGCCAAGAGTTCAAGGCAGCCAGCGTGGCTCACTCCTCAAGGTTAACCTGTTTGCCCTTGAAATCTCTTCAGTACCTCTAAACAGGCCTGACAGATCACTCTGCAGACCCTAATCCTGCAAGTCCCCACTGTAGCTGGTCGGCACAACGCAAGCACAGCCTGTGTGCCCTACGCCGTTACGTACAGAGTCGGAATATGCCCGATGGCAGACGGAAGCTGGGTAGGAATAACCAACGTGCATCTTCTTCAGGAGCTGGCCTGTTCCCAGATTCCTGCAGTTGGTGAAAACAGAGATTCTGACTGCACTTCCGTCCTCTCTCCGCTCTTTTCCAATCACAGTAACATGGCAATGCAAGGCGGACACAGTTTGGTTCTACCAAACTAAGATAAGAGGCCACAGGAAGAGATGCCACGAACGTGACGCAAAAGCCAGTGGAATTGCAGCACCATGGCTCATCCACTGCCCACCCAACGGTATGGGAGCACCCAGCTGCTGCCCCTTTGACAACTACCCCTCAAAAGGCAAATCAGCAGCCGACCAACACCCTGCCTGCTGCCCTCCCCCCAGACCTAAACCGCTCAACTGTGAGGGAAACACCAACCAGACAACGATGTCATTCACGGTGGTGGTGCCGACCAAGGCATCCCTCATTCCTTCTACTTCAGCAAAAGCTAGAACCGTTTCTTCGGGGGGCATCAAAGTCTGTCCATCCTTGCTCCTGAACAGCAGATTAGCAAGTGAGAAAAGGCAGTCAAACAGTAAGTACGTGTTCGGTATTCAGCACATCTCCAGAACGGAGCCCAATGCTCCTCGACTTCTGAGATGCTTCCTTATTTTCCTTCCACCTGCCGCCCTGAGACCCCCCAAAGCCAGCACACTCACCTCCCCGTCTCTGACAGCCACACTATATCCACTTGCTGCTCCTGCCCAGTCCTGCTGCTGCTGACCAGCCTCCTGCCCTTCAGCCCCAGAACAGCTTTTATAGCTCCAGTTTTCACGAGCGATTGCTTGAATGAGTCATTCTCAGAAGAACAAAGCAGGAGCCTAAATTAAGAGAAAAGTGTGTCTAAAGACAGAAGGAAGGGTAACGCAAATACGTCACTGTATATAAAAACAAGCGCGTGTTTAAACAGTCTGCCACCTCGAGGGGTGACTAAGCCAGTCTTTAGAGCCAAGTTTTAGAAATCCCTTCCACATCTTCCAACTGAGAAAGTGACACTCTAGCAGGAGATAATTTCAACCACCACAAGAGGAGAGTTAAGCTGCAGCTATGCAGGGTGCAAAGCACTAGTAAGAAATCAATACAAAACCTTATTTCTGCAATCTCCAAATCTCCCAGTGCGATACACACGAGATTACCGGTGTCTGGCAGAGGAACGATCTGTATGACAGGAATCTAGGACAGCAAAACAAGAACTCAGTGTCACCCACAACATCCCTTTGACTTTATTCCCGTTTTCTAGAGTGTTTCGAGTAAAATCATGCGGAGCAGAACTAGTTTTCAGATCTCTCTGCAGATGTACATTTAGATTAACAGTCTCCGTTGGCGTTAGAGATAGAAAGTGTCTCCAGGGAGCGAGTAAGTCGTGGGCTGCAGCCACCATTCAGTACATGAAGTACCAATCTCCAGCGGGGAACACGCGACCAAACAAGCTGCCGGCCATCTCCATCAGCAGTGAGAATCATTCTCCACTGCCTGAAGAAATGAAAAATTTACGTCACCTAAAGAGCTCACCTTGCACTCAAGACTGCAAGCTCCTTATGTCCCGGAAACTAACACGTGGGGCAAGAAAGTTGCCTTAAATTCTAGAAATAAGGATTCTGTTCATACCTCTCTGATCTGCCAAGTATAGACCTTGTGCCAGCTGCCAGACGCCAGAGGTTTCCACAGGGAGACAGAACTCTCGCAGGCAGTCACCACGCAGAGCTCCCGGCAGCCACCTGCTTCCCACCACATGGTGCTCACATCCACGGCGCAGGAACTCGAAGAGTCCTGTCCAAAACAAAACAGTGCTGGTTTTCTTCTGACAGACGTGGTTATTTAACCTGGAGGCTCAGCCTGAGCAAAATGCTTGGAGTTCAGCGTGATGGGGCTAAAACTTCACGCTTACGATGTTTACTTTTGAGTCAAGGCACCAAGGAAGACAAGCCTGGGGGCTCTCACCCTCAGAGCAGCGAGAGTGAGACTCCGTCTCAGAGCACAGTCAGGCTCTGGTCCAGACAGCACGAACACCAACACATGGATCTGGCAGTGCTGAAGTTCCCCAGCAAGTTTGCTCCTTACTGGGCTAGTTAGTGCCTGAAATGGCAACAGGAGGCCACAGGGCAGGAAACAGGGTACAAGGGCTGAGATAATTTCACCTGGGGCTGAAGAGAAACAGCAGTTCTGTTTGTTAAGACATTTGCATGTGGCTGGACATTCACTATTCAGAAACAAGCACTGAAATAGTTTGTCAGTGGACAGGAGATACACAGCAATCTAACCTCTTGGCATGCTTTACTGCAAATGAAGGCAGAACTCATCAAATTAGACAGCAATCTATTTTGTTCAAGTAGGTATTTGCATTTTTATTGCATTTTTCTCAAACTTGGTCTTAAAGAGCTGACGCTGACTCAGTACTAACAATTCTCCCATGTTATCCTACCTTTAGCTTTGACACGAGCTGCAAGCTCTCTGCTGTCGGGCCATCAAGCGGCACTGGAGTCCACTGTTCTGCTACAGCTGTTCTCTGCACAAACAAGTAACGAATAGAGAAAATTCTACTTTGAAATTACTTTTGGCACCTGCAAGAATGAGGCAGAAGTGTGAATTCACTCTGCATGTCTTAGAAAAACAAGAAACCCCAGACAGTTTATTTCCTGGTTTCACCTGAAAAGTGTCTTCTGCCACCACTTTGCATCTCTCAGCCTTCAAAGACAAGTTGTTCCCTCAGTACCCATCCTGCACGTGAGCCATTTAATCTCCTTTACCAAATCCTAGCCAAAAGTTTTCCTTAGGGTAGACCAACACTACATGGGCACCCCAGACTTTATGTTCACGTACACGTTTCAGACACACACCCTGCAAGAAGCGTCAAAACCCACATCCCCGGTTTCATCAAGCAGGATTTTAAAGAGTCTTGAGGTCAAAACACTTTAGGCAACAGATGAAAACTAAACGTTGACAAGGTCAGCTACAAGACAGCCTGCAGGGCTAGCAGGTGAAGACGTCTTTCCCCTGAAGTCAGGTGAGACTCTGGGAAAGGGGATTTGCCCCCAACCCCCCTGGCTGAGCACCCCTGGCAAAGAGCCCAGCTCGCTACCTGCTCAGGAGATGCTCTGCAGGATCTCTGCTGTTTGCTCTCTGCCTGCCGACACTTCTCCAAGGCCACAGCCTCGCTGGATTTATTATCAGGACCTCTTTCAGTTTCTGAAGGAAATGCTGCACCTTGCTCCTCCTCTTTTTTAGCAGATCCTGTGCCACAGCTGTCCAAGTGCCGCGCAACAGCGGGGTCTTTGCCCTCCCCATCACCCACACCCTGGGCAGACACCCCTTCGGAGGAGCGCACCCCCGCATGCGAGGGAGGGACTAAAGGCGTGTTGGGGAAGACCTCGCTGTGTACCGGTGGTAAAACAGCCGGGGTTGCACCTACAACTGGGAAAACTGATGAGAAAATCTGCGACTGGTGCTGACTGGGAGCACCAGCTAAGACAGTCCCCACGGGAGTAAAGAGCAGCTCATGGGTGGAAAGCTCCTTCTTGGACGCTGGCCTTTCTGCGTCAGGTAGCTCGGGCAATCTGTTTTCGAAAGGCAGAACCAAATTACTTCTAAGACTTTTTTCTTCTGGATCCACATCTGCATCTTGCTTGTCCTCCAAAGCCGCACCACCTGCAAACACACTGGGAACAAAAATCTCCAAGTCATTCACAGAGGAAGATTCTAATTTCTCCTGTTTTAGTAGTCCGAAGTCTTCATCCGGTAAGTGAAAGTCTCTGATGCCCAGCCTGGAGACCAGCCACCGGGGGCTGCGGAAGGAGAAGAGAGGGTCACAAGGATTGGAGTCCATGGCACTACCTGTTGGACAGCAACGTTCTCTTTTGCTCTCATCTAGAGGAAGAAAAACACAAGAATAACAATAGTTAGCCCACATCAGATTTTCCTGAATAAAAAATACGGCAGGGCGTGAACAGCAGTGCCTGCTGCTGCTCCCCTGCCTTGCTCTCAGGCTGCAGTTTTAGCTGTGCTCCTCTTTGCAGAAGTACCTGCTGGGACCTGAGCAGCTCTCTGCCTCACAGAGGAACGCAGGGAGCGGCGCAGGGGGACACCAATCGCCAGGAGCTGCTCCGCCCTGCAGGCTCCTTGTACGCGCTGATCCTTAAGGTGCTCCGCTGGGTGTTTATCAGCCTGGCACACAGCTAAGTTGGCTTCCAGTTCTCCCATAAGGCTGGCAAAACTTTCATCCCCTAGGTTCAGAGAATCACAGTTCTGAAGTGGATTTTGACCCTGTTCTGACAGGGTCTGACGGCAATCGCCAAGCCCTGGGCTCCCTCCAGGAGGAGGATCAGCTCCCGATGGCTGTACGGTCACTTGTGGCTCTCCAGACCTGAGCACAGCAGCAGCAGACAGCTTTCTCTCATCTGAAGCAGATTTTCCAAGATTAGCCTCACAGTTTTCCGTTTCACTCTGACACTCATTTGACAGCACACTACTGCTCTCCCTCAGCATTACGAGATCCAAACCCTCTGTAAGTTCCTGTGACCCTTGACACACAAGGGGTTTGCAGCCAGACTTTCTTCTCCCCTTTTGTTTCCTCAGTGATCGTCTCTGCTCTCGCCTTGTGCTCGTGACACTGTTCTGAGAAATCGATCCAAGGGAAGCGCTGCTACTGCTGGACGTGGGAAGAGATTTCTGAGGACTACTCAAATTTGCTGGATCATTTTCTGCACCAAGGAAAGGGAACTGCATGATCCCCGACTCCAAATCACTTTCAACTCTTTCTTGGGAGGGAAGATCTGAATTTGCATCTTTCTGCTTGCACTTAGTTCGCTGACTCTTCTTACTTTTGCCCAGCTGGCTGAGAATTACAGCATCGAGGTCCACCTTCCTCTGGCAGTTAGACATGCGTCGAGTTGTCCTGACGTAGTATTCAACTGGAAAGAGAAGCCCTTCAACCACCGTGCAAGAGCTCAGGGCACTTTCAGGAGCTGTCACCTTCTCTGGAGAAGGAAGTCTTGACTGAATTTCAGCCCTTTGATTGTCCAACAGTTCTTTAACATTGCGCAGAGCAAGATCTGTAGGAAAGGGATTTAAGCTGTTAACGTCACTCTCGTTTCCTTCACGGCTTTTGCTCTCATTAGCCACAGCGCTATTTTCATCAGCAGGCAACGCTTCATTTTCTGACGTGAAATTGAAGAGCCTATGTAATTCTTCCTGTTCTCCACACAGGCTCTCACTGTCCATTTGTTTAATTATACTTGAGGATTCTTCTCCTCCATTACCACTGGTGTCAAGCGGAACTGCGTCATTGTTCTCTGAACACAGCTGTACAGGTCTGTGGCCGTCAGACACGGCCACAGCCCCTGGGGGCCGGGTCTGCCAGACGTCACCGCTGTCCCTCGGTGCAGGCAGGGACAGCCCAGGCCCTCCTGGAGCAACGTGGTCTTCAGGCACGTCTTGCACAGCTCCTAATGCTGCCTCGGGAGGAGTGAAACCGTTTTCCTCTCTCTGCTCAAGTGCCGGTCTGGATGCTCTCTGAGCGTTTTCATCAGTACTGGGGAGACTGCTTCGCCTGAAGACTGGTGACCGAAGCTCCTCTGTGCTGGCAGTTTGATTTTTCACTGTCTCATCAGTGTTGATTAGACGCACGTCACGCACTGGTTCCCTTCCCTCCGATGCCAAAGCCTTCATCCGTCTCCTCAGCTTCATCAAGCTTCTGGAGGTTTGGGGTCTCTTCTCCTCAGGGGCAGAGCCCACGATCCCACAGGACAGGCTTTCCTGGCTGGCCTGTACGCTTTCTGCCTGCGAGCTGTCCTGCAGGCGAACCTCTTTATCGGGGAAGTCAGGAACGTGTTTATAAGTAACAGGTGTTTTCTTCTCTGCATGGAGATCAGAGCAGGGTTTAGTCTGTACCTGGGAGGTTTCATGTCTGTCAGCACCAGGAGACACGTTATCGCTAGAACCTGCGGAAAAAATACCGTATCTGCAAAGGACTCCCTGCAGAGTCCCATCTGAGAAAAACATCGTGCGGTGAAAAGTGACAATTTCGTCAGGAGTGAAAGAGCGGCATCTTACAGCGGGGGATCAGAGGGCACCGCGGGCCCG